ATGCACACACTTTCAGAGATTAAAGTTTCAGATTTTAACTGTAGGTTTATCAACTGTTTATTTGTTTGGTTATGTTGTATTCCTATCATTACCCATTATGTGCGATCGCGGACCATTAAGTGGCATCCCTGCCGATAAATCGATCCATTTAGTCTTGATGACAGGCTAAGGTTCTTCCCTGGCTTAAAATCAGATGAAATCAATATCCGATTTGATGTTTGGCCCAATGGATGTCTTTTGTGTAACACAAATTTAATAAAACATACCCAGTGTAGTGGAGACTGATTGAATGGGCCGTTACTTAGGTGTGTGTGTGTGTGTGAGTGTGTGCGTGCGTGTGTATGTTTGTGTGTATGTATGTGTCTGTATCTGTGTGTGTTTGTCGATGTGTCGGTGTACTGGGGAGAGTGTAGGCTAGTTTTATAAAACGTGTCCAAAACTACACTAACTAGATGAAATCATCATCTCCCATTTGTGACTATGACACATGGGGCCAAATAGATACAATAAGATGGGGAAGTTTTAAAACCAAAAGCGATAAAACGGATCGAGCACTTATAAAACAGTTATCATTATCGATAATATCAGTCTAATGATGTCTAGTTTCCGACGAATTACAAAGTTTCTTATTTTCAACAATTCATAAAGTAAGTCTTACATCTACAAAAAAATTCTTATTCTTTGAGTGGAATTCGAATTTTAAATAAGGGGTCGTCTATAATTGACGTCACAGTAAAATGACAATGTGTGACAATGTGTGACGAGGGTGGGGGTGGGATATCAAAACGTCATATTTAAGCATTTTAAAAAGTAATTTTTAAACTGAACTAAAGCAACTACTTCACATTTTAAAGTACGATTTGTTTTTCCGAAATAGTAATAAAACTGATCAATATAAATAATCCATATTGACCCACTCATTGAATACTGTAGAAATAAATTGCTGTGTACAAAAAAATATTAGGGTTCGGTAAGCAGGTAGAAGGCTGATGCTTGACGTCATTTTCAGGGCTATTGCCATTATGACTATGTGTGAAGATGGGGAAGGGGGTGGAAATAAAAGAAACCTGACGTCATTTATGTACGACTTCTCTGACCATCATGATGAAAGCTAATTAAAAAGCTAATTTATTACAGCAATCGATTTTGCATCGAATGGTAAAAAAAACGTGTTAGGGAGTGAAAAGCTATTATTCTGTGCCTGTTTGAAAGACGTGATCGATTCGTTATTTTTTTTTTGTCTGGTGCGACATCGATATGAATGGCTTTGTGTTGCTAACTTGTATTTTTAATTCACGTCTTAATTATCACCCTTAAACAGCATCGTGTTGCTCGAATTTAATACACACTATGAAATTTGTTACATTTTGTCTTTAATTAAAAAAGTGAGCCCCCTCCCCCAACAATAGCACTATTCATCTATTTGTCTTCCCACTCCCCAACCCCCCATTTCATATATTCCAGTATTACAGAGCACAAATGGGTTCATTTTTTTAGTTTAAATTTGACCAACATCTGGATAGTTCGTAATACCGTCACCAAAAAGTAAAGGCATTTTTTAACATCAGAAAATTGACAACCACACAAAGCCCTTTTTATGTCATGCTGTGTTAACATTAGACGCAAATAAAGCATCGAAGTACATCAATGATTTAGTGATTAGTTAATGATTATATAATTATGCGTAGACATTTTTCGTCATGTAATTATCGGTGAAATAATTCTTAGGTGTCACCTCATAAATCATATCTTAACCCGTCTAAGCACATAGGCCTACAGGCCTCCCCCACCTCTATCCTAGATAGAGCACTTTGGAGATTACCTTAATCTGGTGCCACATGTTCAGCCACATATACATATAGGTCTTATCATTGAATCAGGTTTACATGATAAAATTGATAAAGTAGAACATAGCTAACATTAGAAATTATATAAACGTCAACGTGACATTAGGTTTCGTAGTCAAAAGTTTATTTTACGGAGCTGGGTGGCTGATGTTGTGCGTGTATGTTCGTTCCATGCCGCTTTTAGGAACGTTTTTTTAGAATGGTGGGGAGGGGTAATAGGTATTTACTATTTTAAAATTAACGACAATACATGTGACCATAACCGAGAATAGCCGTGATGTAACTAAACGCTTGACAGTTGTTATTCGGTAGTTTATGAAGGAGGGTGTTGGAACTCCCTCAATACCCAGCTGCCCACGTCACTGCCTCTGTCACTCATACCTTCAGCAGTATGGCTGGTTCGGAATGTTGTTTTCCATGACACACAAACGGTTGCCGACATTGAAATAATACAGGCCCATGATGACGCAGTATGACCGAGTGTGGATGAATGACAAGCCATCATCTGACGGAGAGAGACAGCAAATTTAGTGGGTCGTGTAGGGGCCAATCAGATTAGCTTGACAGAGTGCCAAACCGCTGTGACGTCATCAAAATTGCTTCGTGCGTCTAAGCCCAATGGCATTTGTCCGGTATCGTTCTGAAGGAGGCCAAAGCTTCACAGTAAAGCTTCTCTGCTGAGCTGATTCCTGAGTTTTTTATTTATAGTTTTTTTGTTTTGTTTTGTTTTTAAATTGATGTTACAACTATAACAACCAGGACTATTGATCTCTAAAGAAGTTTTTGTTGTTCGTGAGATGTTAGGGTTAAGGCAATAATTACAAAACTCGACATTTTCCTCGGATTCTCTAATGTACACGCCCCTTCTCTCTCCCCCACCCCCTGCAATATACATACACACACATATATATATATATATATATATATATATATATATATATATATATATATATATATATATATATATATATATATATATATATATGTGTGTGTGTGTGTGTGTGTGTGTATGTGAACAATTACACACAACGCCTCTGGTAAGGGCAACCTCTTCAAATTTAAAGTTAAAATATATCATAAAAATATATCATAAAACAATTTCTTTAACTCAGTTTGTGATTATGCACATTCATACTCAGTATTAGAATATAATATTGGCCGAAATCAATGAAGTAGTAACTTAAACAAATATTTCTAAATTCAGATGGGTATTTTTAATTTTATAAAAGTTCTCGCAGTGCAACACAGTATTTTGTACTCTAGGTGGAATGGGAAAAAAAATTAACAGCAGCATATCAAGTCGAGGTGAACTATAAAAATTAGTTTCAAGTTTATGAAATTTACTTGTTTTCTATATTAACACAAACAAATATGATAATTGATATTGTATTGATTTTTTGTTTTTAAGTTATGCAGAAAAGTAAGGTCATTTGCAAGGTATTGTTTTTTGTATTTGACAATAATTTCACCTTTGTCTATTGCCCACGTTCGCGTCAGCAACAGATTGGCTGATACCTTTCAGATGTATCGAACACAGCTCAGACGATTGATTTTTCAATATCGATTGGTCTTGATCACAATGCCAAGAGCTCATAATTCTTTTACTGCTACTGGAAGTGTACATTTCGATTGCCGTGCCTTTGTCCCTGGCATGGATGGTGATCGATTATGTTAGAGCCCGGAACATGAATGATTGATCGTACCAGGATGCCCCGGCTGATCGATAGTCAGAAATAAAAATCAATTGTTGAAGTTTGTTTGAAAAATATGTTGACAACAAACGGTGCATATTGTATTACCATTATAGCCCGGCACCAGTGGAGGTAATGGTGTAGCCATAGCTCACATGAGATGTACAAGTTGAATTGATTGGGTTTTAATGTATTTATTGTTAAACGTGTGGGACATTTAAAGGGCAATATACATCACAGCTGCAGGACATTAACTATTACAATGTCTAATTGCTAATGTCAACGACATTTTTAACAATATAGTTTAAATTACAATCAAGCCGCTCTTTCCAGATTTTGTTTCATATGCCAAGCGCAGCTTAATAATCGAATAATACAAATAGTCTCCGTGTAGCAACAAACTTAAGAAATCAACGCATTAATGCATTCTTAATCTTATTTTTTTTAAATCTCTACCTCACTTAAGTATAAATGCGTTAAATTCAGCGTATAACATTTTGAAAGAAACACCCCCTTCAGACAAACGGATCCATAAAGGGTCATCCATAAACGACGTCACGCTTTAAAAAAAAAACTATTTTAATTGTCACATCCCCATCTTCATAAAAACCCAGACCCTCCGCCTAAAAATGATGCCACACCACAATCTACCCTACCCCCCCCCCTCAAAATTTCCATTATTTTTTTTTAAACACCGACTCCTTTCTTAAATGTTTACTGAGTTCGGTCAGTATTGATTTCATTGATCAATTTTTATAGCACTCTACAAAAAAGTGTTTTATAAGACCGCGACAATTCAGTGTCGTCACAGTTTCTAAAGCTCCTCCCTACTCCTCGTCACACATCGTCACTAAAGTCCGCACCTCCCCCCTCCCCCTAGGAATGTGACGTTATTTATGGACAACCCTAAGCAAAGATGAAGCCGAATGTTCTGTTTTGGTGACCTATTTATCTGAAGGGATGACGTGGCCAGCAACAAGACCCTTAAGAGATAAATTGTCATATCTCATTAGTCACTTGACTGCAAATCATTTGCCTACATAAATGACAGGTTTTGGGAAATGTCTGTAAATATAAGATATTAGTTATGTGTCAAACAATTGTTTACAAATGGCAGTTAATGAGGTTTTATTTACAAGGCGATGGAAAATGAAGTAAACAAGAATAGGCATGTACAGAGAGCGAGAAAGTTATAGTTCTAGCTGTTAAAAAAACGTGAAGTTATATTTAGATATCTGGAGATACAATGAGTAAACATGTAAATTTACATGTATGCTGTTGACAAAAATTAGTCCACAGTATAGAACGACGGTCGCCTATTTGGCAAGGTGTATGTGGAGTCTTCGTTTAGGTCTAGGCTTTGTGTTATAACCTTTAACGATAACTTTACAAAATATGAAATTTAGTCAATCGTTTTTTTAATACAGTTTTACAAGAACACCCTCCTCCAGCAACAGATAGTTTACAACCCAGCGTTACTTTCTTGATCGGTAGCGGTGATAGTGGACGTAATTGTTGGCGTTTCTGACTGGCTCGTAGTGGCAGAGGTGGAACTAGTGGAGCTGGTGGATAGCTTTTTCCTGGTGGCGCACTCGTTCTCCATCCTACCCTCGGTGTGCGCCCTCGCCCTACGCGCGGCGTGAAATGAAATCTTCATCCCGGTCCGAGAGAATACGGCACATTTCTCGCTGACCAGCTGTCTGAATTTTCCTGAGAACAGGCACGAGATACCAACAAAAAAACCTTGCAGGGAGTTGATGATAATGAAGATGAATGTTACAATTTCTGAACTGCAGAACATTGTAACAAACCCCACTGACCACGTTAATCCTATGATAATGGTCAGTTTTAAGTTGATGATTATCATGTTTCGGTGTTTAGAGCCGTTTGAATCATAGGTTTCGGACATTTGCTTTGTTAGGTAGATGTTTCTAGCCGTTAGTACGAATAAAACCAGGTTAATTAGGAGAATAGCCGCCAAGGGAATAACGAAAAAGAGAAGCAAGCTATATTTAGAATTTATCCAACACACGGTTTCTCCGTAACTTGGACTAACCATGTTGCCAGGTTGTAGGAAGTCAAGGGCCAAGCAAGTAGCTACAATGATGCCAGGAAAGAACCAGCCAAATATGTTATAGAAAACGTAGCGTTTAGATGAACGCTCTTGCGCGTGTAATCCTGAAGAAAATGTTATCCACATATCCAAAGCCATCACGTTCATCCACGAGAAAACAGCTAGAAAACCATAATGAGTGCAGAAAGCCATGATTTTACAAAGCATTGGTACAGGAGTGGCCAAAGCCCCGAACAGCAGAAGTGAATTAGCGAGGAATAAAGCCAGGATTAACGACATGATGTTTTTATCAGGGATCGAGTGCGTCTTCCTCGCCGCTATGTATAGAGAAGCTGTTATGGTCAGTGTAATGATGGAAACACACATCCCGCACGCACTGACGATACTTTGCGCCCTACTGTAAGAAAACAGTGTTTTTGTTTCAAGAAAACTTGACACGTTCAATGCGTCAGCGCACACATAAACATCTGATTCAGATAAAATTATGTAGATGTTTGTTTTTGAGATAATTAATTTACTTTGGAATAGATTAATATGTGTCGAGTTCATTTCGAATTCCGATTTGTTGAGTTTGACTAAAGGACATTTACTTGATGTAAGATTATGCTTGAATTCTGTAGCAGTGCAAGATTTGTTTTGGTATTTCATCCCGTCTGGACACGTGACTTCCCGACAGGAGCACGTGAACGGGTCAAATATAGCATCATCTTCACACACGTCTTGTTGATACATGGATTTCGTCGCCGTCTTTTGCCCTACTTTAGTGTGGGCCAGGCCTGTGTTTAGGTCCAGTAGGATGGAGTAGGAGTATGGTTGACTAGGCAACGATATCGATGGTGTGCCTAAGTGCTTTTCGCACTTGACAAAATTCATGTTCCCGACAAAACACATTGCACAGTACTGGTTTTTAAAAGAGTAGTAGAACCTGTGCACCAGAGTGATGTTCCTTTGTCTCGTGCATTCTGTCTTCACGCGCTGCGACACCCTATCCGGGTACCTGCACGTGCTGATGACCGCCGGTGGACAGGGGCGGTACTGCAGGGAGTACCCAAAAGGCGGCTCATATTTAACCGTGCACGCCGGGTTTTGCACCATTTCACTTAGCGATACTTCGCTGATTGCCACGTTTTCGTTTCCATAGCAACTGATGTGTGCAGACCATGCAATATACTCCTCTTGATTGCATGCAGCACAGTAAATATTACGGTAAAGGACGCCAGATTTAGCACCTGTAACCGGGATATCAAGAAACCAATCGCCTTCGACGTCTTCGTTTACGTTACACAAACGTTTATATTTTGTTACCGGCCACGAATCTGGGCACTTGTTTATGATGTACACATGATCGAGAGTTGAAATATAATTGATTTTTAGACAGGAAAAGTAGTCTTTTGATTTTTCATTTAACCAGCTTGGGTAGTTCCTTTGGCTTATGGATGGTGAAAAATCCGGACAGCAGTCTCCAAAAAAAGAGCAAACATTATCACATGCGCAACCCATCAGATCGTAATATCCGTATGCCCGTTGTGGTGATAGGTTAGCCTTGATTTTACCGTAATTTTTACAATACCACTGCGGGCATGTAAAATTAAAAGGTCCATGATTATTCCCTAACACTCCAGATTTAAAACAATGTACACATAGCAAGCCAAAAAGGCTATAAATCAACACCTGCGACGTGAAAGACATTGTCTTCGCCATGCACTAAACATATCTGAAAAACAATGTTCCTCATTCTACTCGAAGCTATACTTTGTTCCTATATCTCTCGTTAGATTGTTATGACTGTCTGAAAATACGAGAAATCCTATTAACCCGCGTATTGTTGTAACATTACCTTAATTATTTCAGTAATCAAAGTAAACAAACTGTGTTAGGTGCATGTCAGTCCGCGTTCTCCCTTGAGCTAGAATGTATAATTGTAGGTAAACAGGCTTTTGACCCCCCCTGGTTAGATTAAGCAAAGAACGATAATCAGCGGTGTAGTAAAGAAGAGGTGCAGGGGTGGATGGTTAACTATTGTGGTACATGTGTATTATTTTAATGGACCTTGTAAATTTGTGCTTATATGTGAGAGGGGGGGGGTTCCCTAATTTTTTTTAAACATATGCCCTTGGCCAGAGTTTCTTTCAGGCATCTCTTGAAGAAAGTCTAACCCCCTCTCCCAAAAAATTGGAAGTTATATAGAAAACATATACTTTTACCAGTTTTAGTCAGCCCCCCCCCCCCCCCCCCCCGAGAAAACAGTCTGGAAGAAACACTGCCCCTGGCACTGAAGTTTGTAGAACGCCGCCGACAAAAATATGCAAATTGGCGATTTAATTATAAATTTGTTGAATACTTTCATCATTAGTTTTGTGTTTATGTGTGCATCTTTAGTACCTAAGTTTATTTAGTTCAAATGCCTTACACATGTTAAGGCCCCATTTTCGTCAAGGATATCCTTTCGATGAAGATTGTGTGTGTAGAGAAAGGGTGGTGGGGGGATGTAGCATTGTCATTGTAGGTAAGGGGGTAGAGGGTAGGAGATGATTGTGTGTGGAGGGAAGGGGGATGGGTGCCGCATTGTCATTGTGTCCTGTAGGATGTGCAGCATTATCATTTCGGGGGGGGGGGGGGGGAATGGAAAGTGCAGCCTATTCATTGAAGAAGGGGTGCAACTAATAATTTACGTTGTTGTTTTCTGCCTAATGTGACCTAGATCTATATAAATACGACTTCGATGAGCGAGAGAAAAAAAACGAAAGAAAAAAAAAACTCGAAGAATCTCAGTTAAGTTAAACGGTGAAATTTAAATTACTTCTGTTCGAAATCTGACTTTATAGTCATGAATTCATTCCAATTTTTTAAAATTCTATAAATTGTTTACATAAATATAATCGAACACTTTATAATACCGATCAACCGCAATGTGGAAGTTCGTGCAGAACGATGCAACTTTACTTTTACTAAGCAATGATATGGTTTAATTACGAGTAGTCTCCCTTCGATTTTAATTATAGATCTTCGATAGACATTTCCTATGACGCAAGTAACCATCCCGACCCCACCCTGCTCCCACCAGTATTTTTTTTTCAGACAATAAAATTAAAATCTGGAGCACAGTCCTTCTAGTCCTGCTATAAATAAAACACTCTACATTATATATATATATATATATATATATATATATATATATATATATATATATATATATATATATATATATATATATATATATAGGCCTATATACATGGGGTCATCCATAAATGACGCTTTTTTATGATTTTTACCTCCCCCCCTCCCCTCCGTCACACGTCGTCACAAAAAGTCAGATCCCCCCCCCCTAAAATGACGTCACACCTCAGCCTACAAACCCCCTCAAAATTGCAGTTGAATTTTTTTTTTTAAGCATCGATATTTTTATAGAAAACATATACTTTTACCAGTGTCTGCCCTCCCGGAAAATGTTGACCGCCCCCCGAAAATATCAAGTGCCCCCCCCCCCCCCCCCCCAGAGAAAAAAAGTCTGGAAGAAACACTGTACCCTTAATTCAGATAACCTTTACTTCATCAGCACTATTGATCGCCAGGTACGATCCAGGTAAATTTTTTAATAGATATGTTGTGGTTGGGTCTAATTCATATACTATTTCTATTTTTCAGGAGAATAGAGAAAGAGAAACAATGTATGTTTACCATAGAAGGTGATTAGCTAATATAATCAATAAACAAGTATGGGGTACATTAATTCGTCCGAAGTTTACTAATTATAAACTTGATATGAAACTAAACATTGAGATGAACAAAAATGCGACTACAGCAAATAATTTATAAATACAAATATAAATGAATCCCTTAACCCATATTGGGGTTGTCGGGGCACGGTCTGGGCATCACAAAGTCAATGCCTGACCACAGCCAGATGCCTCAATCTATGTGGCTCATCTTTATAGTTACTTGGCTGTTGAAGTTCATCTTGTGCCATGTGACCAGTGTTTCTTTCAGGCAACTCTTCAGGGGGCACCCGCCCATCCCGAAACAAATATACCTACCCTCCCCCGAACTAAATATAAAAAAATATAATCTATATAGAAATTATATTATACGTTTACCAGAGTACACCCCCCCCCCCCACACACACACACGAAAGTTTCAGGTCCCTCTCCCCACCCACCAGAGAAGAAAGTCCGAAAGAAACACTGCCGGTGACCTTAACTGGAATAATACATTTTGATAAATTGTGTATTTATGTTTGTCCACTACTGAGGCGTATAGGGTACTAGTATCGCATGCATGGACTTTGTCCAGACATAAAATAATTTAATAATGTCATAGACATTTTATCCGAAAAATTATCCCCTATCAAAATGTATTAGAAACTTCCGGTTGTTCAAACGATAAAACTATCCTTGTTTTTAAAGAGCATGCAAAAAATCCAGTTTAATGCATGAGTAGATCTACCAAGAATCTAAAATCAAGAAAAATTTATTATCATAATTTATTAACCTGGTTTTATTATAATTCTTTATCTTTGACTTATGTAGAGTCTAGATTAAGATTCTAAACAGATCTGGATCTATCATTCTACGCTGATATCCCACACGTAAGCACCGTCGGCGTAGCACTGGAGTAAAACCTTTGTTTAGCTGAGAAGGCGTCTTAAATTCGGCCAAAACTAGATCTAGATCTAGATCTAGTAATGTGGCGGAGAGTGAATTAATGAATATGTCTTTAAATAATTAATATGAGGGTAAAACTCCATTTTAGCGTATTTTATTCCCCACTTCACGTTCACCTCCAGCTGAGCGTATTTTGTTATAAACACAACTGAAACAGGGTGTGGGGAAATTGCGAGACGCGAAAAGCGAAATGGCGAGGCGGGAAAATGCGAGAAGATCATGCGAGACATACCTGCGGAATCAAGGGTAAATAGCGAGAAACTTTTTGCGAAAAAAAGTTTTTTTTCATGCTTATTTCATCTTTATTTATTTAAATTATTTTTTTTTTGTTTTAAAATAAACTAGCATGTAGCCATACCCTTTAATACGAGTGTTGTATGTTGTTATTTTTTATCTAGATTTTATTATATATATATATATATATATATATATATATATATATATATATATATATATATATATATATATATATAGATACTAAGAAGATAGATAGATCTATATCTAGATCTATTAAAAAATCATAACATCGTTGCTGTGCTACTGTCATCGCCCGCTCTCGTTAGCGAGAGGAAAATCCCGTTTCAGTCGGCATTAATTTTAAAAATCTAGCCCGCTCATGTTTATACATTGTGAATTGGTATAATTTTGTCAGCAGGAGAGATTTTCTGCAAGTGTAAAAGTATAAACAATTCTAAAAAGTGTAGGCCTAATTTATTTTTTTATTAAGTAATTTTAATTACAAACAAAATTTACAAACAAAATCTTCTGAAACAGTCCTAGCATTAATCAAACACACCTCGTCACACCATCTTTCACACATAGTACATCCAACCCACCAGTTCATTAGACTCCCATTTATACTGTGCTAACACAGAACACGAATATGAACACAATGGGAAAAAAAATGTGCGTCTGTAGATAATCTGAAATAAGTCCGCTATCGACAAAACTACCATTTAAAAGCTAAAAGAGGTCATTCATAAATGACGTCACGCTTTTTTGACGATTTTTACCCCCTCCCCTCCGTCACACATTTTCACAAAAATCCAGACCCCCCCCCCTTCCTAGTAAAATGACGTCACACCTCAGTCTACAACCCCCCTCAAAATTGCAGTTGAATTTTTTTTAAAACATCGATATTTTCCTAAAATCTTGTCTAATTTCTGTCAAAATAGAGTATTTTAATCAATTCCTATTACAATTTATGAAAACAGTTTTCTAAAACGCGAAAAACGTTTAAAATTCTTTTTCTAACATAGCTTTTTTAGTGTGACGTCACACATTTCTATGCAACAATACAAAATATGTTTGCGGCGGCACGGCGATCTTCAAAGACGGTAAATCAGGCGGCTTCGGCGTTCCACACAAAAGAAAGAAGTTGATCTATCGTCGGCGGTATTTCCGTCGGTTTCGAACAAGGTGGTATTCTAAGTCGACACAAAAGATGGGGGGAGGGGGGAGTTGACAAATCATCAGTATGTCTAGCGACGGAAAAATCGGAAGTTTTAACAATGTAAACGAAACGTCTTTGACGTCTGGACCAAATACCACTGAAAATCGGGTGCGGTAAATTTTTCGCAGAAATCTTCGCATTTCAACACCACCCAGCGTAAGTATCGGGTTGTGGTAAAATGCGAGAAAAAAAGTCACGTGACTGACCGTTTTCGCGCCCTTCTCGCATTTTCCCGCCTCGCCATTTCGCTTTTCGCGTCTCGCAATTTCCCCACACCCACTGAAACACACAAAAACGTTAGGAAAACACTAGGGCCTAGATCTACTTATTTTTTTATGAATGTGATTTTTAATTAGAAAAGGTAAAAAAAACCCATAAAAAAGCATTAGAAGTGTTCCAATTAAATAGCGTGTGATCGTCAGCTGGAGAAAATCCCTTACACGGTCACGGGTTCACTGTGAGTTCACATTGACTTTAATTATCAGCATACGTCATAGCTTGGGCAATAGCTGTTTGAAATTGTGTTGGCCTCAGTTTTGGGGTCATTGTAAGTTCATTGTTTATTTACAGTATCATGCCTGGAAAATACTTGTAACAATACAAACTTACAAACCTAACCGCCTTGCAATTGTGAGTTACATTTACGTACTTCACCCATTGCCATGAACATTCTGACACACGACCATTGCACATTCAAAATTTCCGCTATTTTTCATGTATATACTTAATTGTATTTCGACCAAAAAAACAGACTAAAAATAAAAACTAGACCTAGAGAATTTACAGAATTTTACAGTACTGAGAATTGATCTATTCTTCACACACATCTAATTATAGACAACCGCAAATAGAAAACAAAAAACAAAAATAATGTCTCACAAATTGTCTCACTATGTGTACATTTTCTCCTTGCATTTTACTGCCTCGCTGTTTTGTGTCTTGCTTTTTGCCAAGACCCTCCCTAATTTGAGTCAGATACCCATCAGACCTAGCTCCCCAGTGAGCAATATGGCATAACATCCATTTTTACAGAAGGCCATTGAGGGACGGGTATGCAAGTAATATCTGAGAATTATTCTTAGCTTTTTTTTTGTATGCTTAGGATAGAAGATGGCAACTGGAGGTGGTCCAGGAGGAGGCTTTGGGCGAGGAGGTCGGGGTGCTGCAATCCTTCAGGCACTTGCAAAGAGCAATGAAGGATCTAAAAGACCTGGAATAAGTGAAGAGGTATATAAGTAGTTATGTTCTTATCTAAATTTATAATATTTACTCATGTTACTAAACATATCACTTTATCATTTATCTTGTGTATGGTGTAACCTATTAAGAAGTTTTTATGTAAATTTATGTAAATTTATCAACAGGATACTGTCTTTAAACCACTGCTCCCTCCATCACTGATGTCACCCTCATCACAACCCCCACTGCCCACGGTCCCACTGGGTCGTGGAGCACTTCTGGCTCGACTTCAGCAAACAAGGAGTGTACAGTCTCTGCAGTCAGAGGATCAACAGTTACAACCATCTGTGATAAGCGCTAGTATTACAGCAGCTGGTAAGCATATTTTTACAGTTAATTTACTATGCAGATATCACTTGTGTAAATCAATAGTTTGTTCTATAATGTTGATAATAAATATTTTAATTGCAATAAGTCAGGTGTTTAAAAGAATTTTGAGGTTTTTTATAAACTGAATTTTTAAAAAAGTATTTTTGAATACTGATAATTTAGAAAAAATTTTTTTTGGATGTAGTTGATTGATTTTAAAAACTCTTTGATTATGTGGTTCTCCTTTTATTGTAGCTTGTCATCAAAAGGTGACTATTTGTATGCTTATATAAATAACCTTTTTCTTTGTAGTGTTTGTAGCAAATATTAATTAGAAATTATGGTGTTGTGTATATTTATTTAAAACTAAAATTCACGTTTATTCCTTTTGCTTAGGTGATGCTCCTAAACCAATGGGTCGTGGCTTGGGCGCCATGATGGCACTTCTGTAAGTTTTTAAAATGCTTTTTATCGCTAATATATTTTTTACAGATTTTTATAGAAGATTTAAATAATTTGATTAGATTTTCATTAGGAGGTAGATTGCAGAGTATTTTGTTTATAAAATAGAGAGCAGCATAAAAAACAACAAGGTCCAACTGGTTTGGGCAGAGGGTTGAGTGGTCAACATATGTCACATGTACATCAGAGCAAACCATCAACCCAACAAGGAGATGCTGCAAGCACAACAACCGAGGCATTAGTTGACAGGCTTACACAGGTGCATGTTAGTGAAGATACTGAAAAGACTGCTTTCGTTCATAAAGAAAGAAAAAGACTACCAACGATTACAATGATAGGAGATGAAGGCACCCCGTAAGTCCAGATAAAATGTTTCTAAAATATAGTATTTGTATATGAATTTAATTTCTATATATTACCACTTACTTATGTGGCAGTATCAGAAAAAATTGCAACTGCAATTAACTTAAAATTTTTTAAAAAGAAATTGATTTAGTACATAATTTCCTTTTTTTCAGTACACCTCTGTCGTCCAATTATGTTAGGATTATTTGCAAAAATCCCGGTGTCTATCTGTATAGTGTTCAGTTTTCTCCTCATATTGAGAATAGAAGACTTAAATCAAAATTACTGAGTGAACACAAACATCTCTTCAAAACTATCAACAGTTTTGATGGGAATATTATGTACTTGCCTTATGAACTACCAGAAAAGGTTGGTTTTAATTTTAAAATATTTAATCTTTGAGCTGAGTTAGATGTTAATAAGGGGCAAGTTTAGATTTAAAGTAAATATATTGGATGCTACTCATTTTGTTTAAAGGTAGAGTTCATTGCAAAGTCTATAATAGAAAACAGTACTTGTGAAATATATTTCTAGGGTCAGAAGATTATCTTTTTTTGTTCACTATTTATTTAAATAATTAATTGAATGTTAAGTCCATATATTATTTTCATGTGATGTTATTTTGTTGGTTTGAAGATCTTTGCCATTGTATAAGTAATAAAAACAAAAAAAATTGCTTTAGGAAACAAGAGTAACATCACAACGACAGACAGATAATGAAACCATCCAAATTACAGTAACTTTTGTCAGATCTGTTCCACCTGAACAGTGCTGTCACTTATACAACATTGTTTTCAGAAAGTAAGTACTTTATGATTTACTTTTTAAATCTTTTATATTACGGCTTTATTGTTACTGCACATTCAGTTTTTATAGTCCCCACTAGATGGTATCTCAGTCTTGTTTTAAATGGATTGCAAAACTTCATTGTAAGCTTTTGTTAAAAATTGGTTATCTGTTATGTAAATGATTGTGTAGTATGTGTTCAAGTTGGATTCTTTAATTTTCAGAATAATGTACATTCTGGAAATGTGTCAAGTTGGAAGATATTATTATAACCCTCATACACCAGCAATAGTCCCACAACACAAGTAAGCTAACATTTTATCTTTAAATTAAGTTCATGAAATTGATATAACATTTTTTAATTAATTGCTATCATAAATATTTTTTTTTAAAATGTAGACTAGAGGTTTGGCCAGGATACATCACAGCTATAAAAGAGCATGAAGGTGGACTTATGCTGTTATTAGATGCTTCCCACAGAGTCCTGCGAACTGAAACAGTTCATGACATTATGTAAGTCTTTACTGGTCAAGAAATGTTAAAAAAATATTGTAGCAGTTGTTTAAATAAAGAAGTTATACAAATTATCAAGCATTTGTTTAATAACATTTTTTTACAACTTTGACATTAATGAATTAATGATGCATTTTAATTTTTAAATATAACAATTCAACCAGTTTTTCAAATATTTCTATATAGGGAGAAGGCAGCAATTACAAATCCTCAAGGATTTCGTGAAGAAATCCTAAAGAAAGTTGTTGGTTGTACTGTGTTAACCAGATACAACAACAAAACCTACAAAGTTGATGACATTGTTTGGAGTAAAACACCATTGGATAGGTTTGAGTGTAAAGCAACTGGAGAAAGTATGTCATTTGAAGAATATTACAGGTAAAAATTTCAAGCTTGTTGATCTTTCATTGATCAAATATCCTCATAGAGAGATGTGTTTAAAAAGTTTACAAGTGTTAGTATTGTTTCTTTGTTCAGACATTTTCCTCACCAATTTCTATTTTAGGAAACAATATAATATAGTTATAAAGAATAGGACTCAACCACTCTTGTTAAATAAAAGAAAGCCACCTAAAGGAGCACCAGTAAGTGTAATTAACAAGTGTTTATTTTTTTAGCGACATTGTTATAGGTACATAATAATGTAATAACATGTGATTATTTATTTATTTCTGGTAGTCATGTCAGTACCTGAATTCTTATTAAACCTGAACAATGCTATTTATCGACATTGTTATTTGTTGGTCTACATAGTAATATTTTGACACATGGACTATCTGATACAAACATTTAGCATTTTCGCATTACATTTTTCAGCTTTTAATTTTAAATTCAATTTTAAATTTTTTCCAGCCTAACTTCAAATTGGAGCCAGAATTTTTATGCCTGATACCAGAACTATGTTACATGTCTGGTTTGACAGAGGACATCAGATCACAATTCACAGTTATGAAAGTAAGTACATTTATCTACATGTTATTCTTGGTAAGATTTTAATGGTTTTGATACTAAAAACTGATATAAAGAAGGAAATATAATTTTATATTTTCAGGATTTATCAGCTCACACCAGGGTGACTCCAGCCCAAAGAACTCTAGCTATGAAAAAATTTATTCAAAGTGTTAACAGTAATCCTCAAGCTAAGGCTGAACTGGATGTGTGGGGTCTTGTGCTTGACAATTCAACCATTTTAGTTAGTTTCATCCTATTCTATCTTCACAAATTTTGTTTTATTGATTAAGTGATAGCTTTCAAGGAGACCTAAACATTTAAAAACTACTTTTGTGTAGCTTTAACTTGGTAGCAAAGTCCATTATTAAAGTAAACTCAAAAGACTTAGAAAATGCTTTTTTTAATAAATTAAAAAAACGTTTTTAGTATAGGCCTTATAGCTATTAAGTTCAAACTCAATTCCTTTTTAGTGCTGAGTTTGTTTTATTTTGTATTTTTTATATGAGCTCAGCTGAGGGTCACTAAAAGTGGCACCTGTTATAGTTGGTGACATTTAAATACATTTTAGCTGATTTGGGTAGGGTTCTGGGGGGAGCCATCATCTCATTCAAGTTATTCTGGTCACACTTTCTTTGAATATTATTTTGTTGTTGACAGGAATACGTTTTGGTGCTAAGGAACATTGAATTTTCTTTGAATGTAGCAATATTAGTCTAATTCTTACTTATCTTCTGCTTCTGTATACCCAGCATGTCAAATAAACTGCAATATGGAATGAATTTATTCAAAATAAATAATTTTATTAAAAACAACTGGTAAAATATAAAATTTTATTCTTCTATTCTTGTCTAGATTGATGGCAGAATTCTACCAATGGAGAAAATTATAATGGGTAAAAAAGAATTTACTGGCGGACCACAGGCAGATTGGTCACGTGAAGCTTGTAGGAATGAACTCTTGTCAACTGTAAACCTCCTCAACTGGGGAATGTTCTACACTCGCAGAGATGCCGCCAAAGCAAATGACTTTATCAAACATTTGCAGGCTGAAGCCAAAAATATGGGGATCAGTTGTAATGTTCCCTTCAGGAGAGAGTTGTCTAATGAAAAAATTGAGACACTTGTGCAAGAACTTAGGAATTCTATAAATGAATCGGTAACTTTTTAAAAATATTTAAAAATATATATATTTTTGTTGTTTCTTAATAATGCAAGTTTTTTAAATATTAATTTTAAATACTATGTTTATTGTTTATTAGATTAATGTGTTTTATTTTGAGTTTCTCATGATCATTGCCAATTACCACAGGTCCAGTTAGTTGTGGTTATAAACCCAACTAACAGAGACGACCGATACTCTGCCATAAAAAAAGTGTGCTGTGTTGAAACGCCTGTACCGTCACAGGTACTGTCCAGCTAGCTATGTTCTCACTTAGGCTATTTATTTGAAATAAGTTATTTAGCATGAAACTAATCAGTGTGAGTTTAAGGATCTTTCTACGTTTCTTTGTTTTGATAGCCTTTTTTTCTCTTAAAGGTGATCATAGCAAGGACCATCTCCAAACCTGATAAGGTTCGGAGTGTGGCACAAAAAATTGCACTGCAAATTAACTGCAAACTTGGTGGTGAGCTTTGGTCTGTTAAAATTCCAATGGTAAGTCTATGGAGTGATACAGATCTCCACTAACCATGACTGATATTAAATATTATAATGTACATCTTACTTTATTGTTTCTGTCTTTGTTATAGTCATAAATAGTATTAAACTTTACACTTTTTCTGTATTATGGCATATTTACAAAATATTTAATTACTTTATTAAAAAATGTACAATATGAAGTAAGTACTAAATGATTTAATATCACAAATTCTTTTTCTATATGCATATTTCTAAATATATGTGTGGTATGTGTGTGCGTACATACATATATATATATATATATATATGTATATATATATATATATATATATATATATATATATATATATATATATATATACATATATATATATATATATACATATATATATATATTGTTTAATAAAGCAAAAATTGATGGTGATTGGAATTGACACCTACCATGATGCCTGTAAAAGCAAGCAATCTATAGGAGCATTAGTTGCTAGCACAAATCGTTCTTGTACAAGATGGTATTCAAAGGTTTGCTTTCAACGCCCTGGTCAGGAACTAGTGCATGGTCTCCAAGTTTGTCTGATAGCCGCATTAAAAAAGTATTATGCTGTAAGTAGCCGTTCTTTCCAACATCATTTATCCTTTGATTTAAACACTTAGATTTTCAGTTGGTAATTAGGTTACCTATAGATAGAAAGATTTATTGATACTTGTTCAATATGTGGCTAGAGTATGGTAGGAGTGAAACAGTTCTGTAATTGTTTTTTCTCCATCTCCTTGTTTGTTGTTTTGTATAACTTTAATTCACCTTTCTTAATAATTTTTATCGCATAACCTACATATATTTATCTGTTCATCCCACTAAAGGTTTGATTCAAGCCATCGCACAGATAATTTAAAGTTATAACTTTCAAAATAATATTTTCCTAGGAGAACCATTTTCTACCAGAGAAAATAGTGATCTTTCGAGATGGTGTGGGTGATGGTCAGCTGGATGTGGTTGCTGACCATGAGGTCAAGCAGCTGCAGCGCTGTTTTTCCAGTTTTGGTGGTGAATACACACCACAGTGCTCAACCGTGATTGTCCAAAAAAGGATTAACACAAGAATATTTTCAAAGGTTTAACATATTATATTATTACTGACAACTGATATTTTGCAGGTTAAACATACTTAAAATAAATTTGAACATGGTAATCTATATATATAATTCTCTTCTGGGAGCCGTTAGAAAACAAGCTGCAAGCGCCTCCTTGCAGTCCCCTCTCTTTCTCTCTATCACTATCACTACCACCCCCACCCCACCCCCACATTGTCTGGTGAGCTGTGGTCACGCTGTTTACATTTTACAATCATAGAGACGGGTTTGGTGACGGCTATTAGGGGCAGATAATTTAGTTTGAAACGATTTTAAACTTAGAGGAGGTAACTAAGAGGAGGCTGCTTTCACGGGGGGGGGGAAGGGGGGTTTAGTGTTTTTAAGCAAATATTTTCAGTGGCAGCATTGGTACTGTCGAATTCACAAATTATAAATTACTGAAAAGTAGAAAAAAAACAACTAAATAGCGGCGTATGATACGCAGCTGGTCGGCTCGTTAAATATATTCTACAATGCTAACAAGTACTACAGTAATACATAATATTATAAGCAGATTGTAGACATTGAAAATTGATAGTTCCTCCCCATCTCTGTTGCTGCAAAGTTATGTATTTTATCATTCCTGTTTGGTCAGTCAGGATTTTATCTTCCTTTGTGTTAAAGTTGTGTAGTGACAAAAAAATAGTAATTTGAGAACTGCACCATGATAAGAGTGTCAGGATGTCTAGGTTTAGGGACAATGTTATGTTGTTTTTTTATAATTCTAATTGGGTTCAAAATGCAAAGTTTAATAGAGTTTCCTAGTAAATGTTAACAAATCCTTATAACTTAATATTTCCAGGAAAGAGATGGCAGTGTTAGTAATCCTCCACCTGGAACAGTGGTTGACCATTCCGTTACACGCAGAGAAAGGTAAGCTGTTTTCAAAGATAGCAGGTTTTAACTTACACTCTTGTTACTGGGGGGCATTGTACAAACAAAATTTCTTTATATTTGATATAATTTGGTAAACTAATAGTGGCTAGAGATGATGATGTAGTATCTGTTTCTATGGTCACTGCATCATGATGGGTTGTGTAGCAAAAGCCTTCATGATGTATTCAAAACACTTTACTTACTTACTTAATCCTGTGAAACCCTGGAGGAGCAATAGGCTGCAGCTCTCCAACAGACTGTTTTAGGCAGCTCTCTTTAATTTGGTCCATGTAAACCCAACAGCCCTTGCTTCAATTTCAACAGTCCTTCGCCATGATCATTATTTTTTGAGTCTAACATCTACTGTGTAAACTAGTTGAATATTTAAACACTAACTGGTATAATCTGTGTGTTTGCAGGTATGACTACTTCATTGTGTCCCAGCATGTTAGACAGGGCACAGTGAGCCCAACTCATTACATTGTTGTTGAGGATGGTTTGAATCTGAAACCAAGCCACATGCAGAGACTCACCTACAAAATGACTTACCTGTACTACAACTGGCCAGGCACTGTTCGTGTTCCTGCACCATGTCAGGTAGTGTTTTTGTTTTTAAAGCTCAATTCCCCTAGTCGACTTGAATGGAGGGGGAGGGGTGGTCGAGTCGGTAAAGCTCATGGTTGCCAAACCGAAAAGTCTTGAGTTCGAACCCTCGGGCAGATGAGGCTCGTTAGCTGGGGACAGCCACTCTTCTAGGAGAGACAACTCCAAAATTAAAAAACTGCTGCCTTGTAGTTTGTTCTTGGTTGGACAAAGGCTATGGAAGCAAATCCAAAAAGAAAAGCAGGCTGAAATCGGAGTCAATGGCCTCAATGGCGCATAACCAGTTGACACGTAACGCTTAATTGTGTTGGAGGCGTAGTCGAGTCGGCAAAAAGCTCATGGTTGATAAATTCGAATAAAGTCTAGAGTTCAAACCCACTGGCAGATAAATCTCGATCCCCTTCAACACTAATAATTAAGAACGAAGAAGATGAAGAATTGAATGGATGCTTGCCTTTAGTTGAGTAGTTAAAGTGCTGACCACGTCTTCTTATAAGTCTATCACTCAAAAATAAACTCAGCATCATGGGTCCTCTGTACCATCTGGTCTTATTGGGCACTTAACTCTACTTACAGCTATGATATTTGTTTACTAAAATAATTTTAAAAACTAAACTATGAATATGTACAAAAATATGACCAATTATTAACAGCAAGTTTTACAATTTTATGCTAGTTAACAGTTTTGTATATTAATACTGCAGTTAAAGTAATTAAACTAAAATTTTATTCTTGTAGATTATTTTAAAATTATTCCCTCCATTCTCTTGCAGTATGCTCATAAGCTTGCTTATCTTGTGGGGGAGAGCATCCACAAAGAACCAGCGGAATGTCTTTCAGACAGATTGTTCTTCTTGTAACTGTCTGAGTTTTACTTTGTATTTTAAAAATGGCTGGAATGACTCAGTATAGAATTCTCTTGCATTTACATATATTAAACACAGTATCATGAATGTGCAGGTTAGTGGGTGCTCTTTGCAATGTTTAAACAATAACTTTTCTTCCCATATAAGTGTTGGATGGTTTTTATTGATGTACTTGACAATATATTTGAAGTTTGTGTGTGGAGTACAAATATTTATAACACTAGATATGGTGTTTTAGTTGTAAATAATATTTTATTTTTGTTATTGACTCTAAAGCAAAAATGAGTTGGTGTGTAGTGTACATAAACTTTTATTTAGGTATGTAAATATTTTAATAAGGTTTACACTGCTTAAAATAATTTATTGCATTGGATGTATCAATCATTAATCCATTTTGTGTTGTTGAGCTACATCACAAAAATATCTTCATTTATGAAATTTCCAGTTAAAGTAAAATGGCATTTCTGGTCAATTCAGAATTATTTTCATGGATTCTTTATAGATAATAATTTAGTTGTGAAACAGTTCTTGTACACTAATTTGTTTCTTAGTTGTTTTTATGTACTTCTATGTATAAATGCGGGGGATGCAGATTGTTAATTCAAGAGGCATTTTAGCTGTTCTACTAATCTCAAATGGCTGCAAAATTTTGAAAATATATTTATGCATTTGGCTTTGTTTTAAATAAGCTATTTCCGATTTGCGTCAATTATTTCTGGGTGTAAAAAAGTCATTTTCATTTAGTTTATCTATAAATTACAAAAAATTGGATATGATTCTGTTTACTTTGAGTCAACACGTTTGTCAAGAACGTCCATGATGAATTTTCTCTTATTTTGGTTATAGAATCTTACATGAGAGATCATAAGACCTTGATTGTTTTAATGTAGATGATTTTCATTCTGTATAAAACCTAGTGCTGTGCATTTTTACTGGTACATTTTTTTTACATATGAGAAATCTGTATATTTTGAGTAATGGCCTTACTGCTGGATGAGTTTTAGTAAATACACATTTTACTGAGCACATCAAGAAAGGGAGTTAACCACAGTTTATTTTTAGCCCTTGGCACTGATATTTGTTTTGATATTTGCTAAGTTACTTGGTCATCTAGTGCCTTTTTAAAAAAATTATGTTGTTTTCTTTTTTAATCTCTTTTAAGGTAGAGGAAACTAGCTCGTATCTCTGTTGCTCTCTGGTGTTAATCCTAATTAGAACTTAGGATTGAAATTCATCTTATTGTATTTACTTCCACAAATACTTGTAAGGGGAGGAACTACCCTAACGCCATACACAGCAATACGGAGGGGCCCAGGCCATTTAGGGGGCCCACAATCGGAACAAAAAAGCAATATTTTTAAATTCCAAAATATTTATGCAACTCGATGATAGTGATTTCATAAAAAATATTGATCTACTACATCTGTGATCGTTGTCAAATCACTAACCCATGTTGTTGCATAGAATTTAAAAAAAACACTACACGAACTCAAAAATGTAAAAGATGAGCAAATGTTCAAACTACTTCTAATGGAGGAGGGGCACTATACTCCTTTACTAAGCAAATAAAAACTAATTGAATTATAATTAAAATAAGACATACTTGTAAACTTATTTTATTCTAAATTAATAATAACAATACAAAAAGCACTGATAATACAAACACAGGAAACCATTACGCATATCTACCTTCGTACTTCATATACTCTTTAACGCTTTATACTCAATTAAATTAGTTTGGGTGTTATCCTTTGTTTAATGTCATAATGTATATACTTTGCAATTAAATAGGTTAAACTGCTGAACTAAGAAATAATTTAAACTTAAGGGAGACAATTTTACAAATATATATATATATATATATATAGCCTATATATATAATCGGTCACCGAAATAATATGGTAGAACACACTTCGGTGACCGCCCATGTGTCAGAGACGTAGAGGGGCGCTCTCAGGGCACCCGCCCCCCCCCAATTACACCACCGCATAGGCGCGGCGTACAACCCCTTGCTCCTTAAAACTAACAGGCGCTATCGTGCCAAATAGCATCCTGTTAATAATGATGCAGATTTCGTCATTCGCTAAAGTGACACAAATGAACAGGATTTTTTTCTTTAACACGTAAAAAAGTATTTGACGTGTTTTAAACATCAGTGTGACTGATGCAATATGCTAGCGTTACTAATGGTCTATTATTAGATGCTCGATCTCAATTTCTGACTGGATTGTCTAATAATAGATGCTTAATGCATCATTCGCAAAGTGACGAAACTCTACAATAGGCTCCTCATATTCAAAAAGTTATTTTTCATCTTTGGCAAGGTGACGAAACTGTACAGAAGTATTTCCTCGCGTTACAAAGTTATTTTTAGAAGCCTTTTGTAGTTTTACCGCTGAATATAGTAGTACCCCTTACTCGCTATGCAGGACGCTCGATTAACGGATGCCAAGTGCCAACATAGTCGCTCTAAAACTCTGGCCGCCACACTGTGTATTGACGAAAGTTGTACCCTATATGGCGCCGCCCATAAGAAACTTTAGTTTTCTTTTTCGCAGAAATATTCTCGGGAGTATTCGCATCTACTCCCTAAAGTTTCATGGCACTCGGATGAACCGCATCCGAGTTTTATTTTGTATATACCGTGTATAGAGAACAAAAATCGCTCCCCCCCCCTCCTGGGGGCGCCGCCCTTGCAATATTAAACAATATTTTTTTGCAGAACCCTACTATTGAGTGATCTAATCATCCTGTACTATCTTGTATCCTACAGATAATAAAAAATAATATAATACTAGAAACTTCAGTTTTATATACGTTTACTTGTTTTTGCTTTTACCAGAAATATCATAGTAAACTTTTAAGGCTTATACTTGGAATTATCTCCCCTGAGTAAGTTTTCTAATGGCGATGCTGACGTACAAAGGCGTTTTATTGTCTCTCAAGTTTTTTTCCCTAGCCGACCCCCATCCCATCCCACTTTCTTAGCCTCGCAAGTATCGAGTAGATCAATATATCGTTTATGAACTACTTCCTAACCGTACGATTCACCACTTCAGTACATTTTGTCAGACACTAGACAGCACTAGTCAACAGATATTATTAATTTACTTGCATAGTATTAGGCACATCTAATTCACAAAACAGGGAAGGTAAGATTATTTTTTATATAATTATTTAGAAATTAATTAGAACGTTTAGAATTAATTGAACATTATTAATAGTCAATTACTATTTATAAATGATGTCATTGCGGTGGGGGTGTGTGAGGGTCTGGCTTTTTGTTACGTCATTTGTGGATTTCTCTCCCCCCCCCCCCCCCCCCCCCCCAAATCAGAAGGTTATCCGACGCGTGAGCTGGCCACATACAGTTGTACATGTGAAAAACATTTTTCTGTCTATTATGCATTACTGCATCATTCACCCAATCGCCATGAAAACTTGCGAAGCTGTTGAGTACAGCCCCGCAAAAGTTTCTGTCATAGGCCTAACATTTGTTTACATATTGGAGTGGGGACGCCTAACGGAAATACGTGATTTAGCGCCCCAAGATCCTACATAAGCAGTGTCATCCTGAGCGCCGTCACCGAGGGATTTACAGCATGTTTTGGCATGTCTAGTTGGTAGAGTGGACAAACCCACGCCCTAAGATCCAAGAAATGGTTAACATTGTTATTCGTGTACCAGGTGGAAAATTTTTTTTTAAATTTAGAGCGACCCTTGTATTCCACACACATACACACACATATATATATATATATATATATATATATATATATATATATATATATATATATATATATATATATATATATATATATATATATAGGCGCCCAAAAAAAGTTCTGCGGGGGGGGCCTTTTTTTTCTAGTTCCGCCATTGGGGAAGGGGGAGGGGGATTGTTACGGAAGAGGCTGAAAACCTTAGAACCGGATAGGCCTAATACGCTGAAATACTGAAATATAACTAAATTAAAATATAAAACTCAGACCGGGAACATAAGTTACCACCAGAAAAAATTTTTTTTACACTAAAGTCGATTTTGATCTCTACTGAAATCAAAACCGTAATTTTGCAGCATAATCGTAATTCCGTAACCTGGGTGTCAAAATCGTAAAATTACGGGCAAAACCGTACAAGTAAACAGCCCTGCTACTGAGTATATTAAGTTGTTCAAATATTTATTTGGTATAAACAGATTTACTCAGGTGTACAACTGATCATAGGGGCAGCTTTAAAATAAAAAAATTGGTATAGTTACTGTGAAAAACTACACACTTGTTAAGTTTTGAATAGAAGGTATATGCAGCTCTAAAACATTTTTTGGTATAGTTACTGTGAAAAACTACACACTTGTTAAGTTTTGAATAGAAGGTATGTGCAGCTCTAAAACATTTTTTGGTATAGTTACAGTGAAAAAAACTACACTTGCTTGAAGTTTTGAATAGAAAGTATCCAACAAAGATCAGTGCCTTATTTTTAACACATTAAACTGAGAAATGTTCAAATGGGGTTTTTTAAATTTTGTATACAGTTTGAATTAAAAAAATTTTTTTTTAACAGTTGATAAATTTCAAATATCATGTGAAGTGTAATAGGTTGAATGTGAATAGTTACCTACAAGAAAAGCTTGTTGACCAGTCCATGGGGTGCCAGAGCTTCCACTTATAAGCACATAACAAGCTTCTTCCACTAGTCTCAGTTTGAGCTGATATGTTTACCTAATGAAAACCATCAAGTAAGCTTCATTGGCTAACATAAATCTACTTATTGTAAATGTTGCTTGAGAACAGAAGGAAAGATAATTTATTTAATGTATGTTGATTTTAAAATGTGTTCTTTGTAGATCTGGGATTTAGATCAATTTTCCTGTGGCAAGTCACTGGAGTTGACTGAAGCATTTTGTGCACAGCTGTTTTATATTTTTAGAGGTGTTGGTTGTACTCTAAACATACTTTTGAATATTTTCAGATTTTTTTCTGAGTCATTTATGTATTTTATGCACAATTTAGGTGTATTTAATGTTAATAATTGAGGTGACTAAGCAATATTGGTAAAAAGCCACAGAATTATTTTTATTTCTTGTGACATAATGTAAAATCAATACCACAGACTTCTGATTTATTTGCTTATTAAATTTTATTGAAATTACTGATTTTTGTGCATTAAATAATTGCAATTTTAAAACTTCCCCACAATCTTTTTAAATTTTTTATCTCAAAGAATTAAGTTAATTTCCCTTTTGGAAACGTTAACAATTATGAACTTTTTAAGGATTTTTTAAAAAAATTCATGATAATCAAAAGACAAAAATGGCAGGGATTTTTCTTCTTTAATTCATTTAACACTGTAGAGCATTTTTCCTAAAGAGATTATTTATTTAACTAGTTTTTAAATTACATTTTTTAAATCTCACATACGGCTGGGTTTACAATGTTTAAGCCACAAAAGAAAAATTAGTAATTTTAACCTGTTTAGAATCTTTATGTAAAATCTGGAAGATATATTATTTGCAAGGTACTCGATTTGAATATTGTGTTCCTGTATTTTAAAAATGTATTTAAAATAGTTTTTAATAAAAATTGTTTTTGAAATTTCAACAAGTTTTGCTTATTAGACCAAGTAATGAACATCTTTATTGTACAGACAGTAGGTTTTTGTATACAGGTGTTCAACATTACTACAACAAAATGGGGGGGGGGGGGGGGGAAGCGCGGGAAGGATCGATAAGTCGATAATTTTTTTTAAAAAGTGTGAGGTACCTATACTGAACCAGCGATGCGCGTAATAGACTTCAGTATTTGGCAATTATTTGTATACAGCTACATCATATTTCCAACGGAAGAAAAAAAACTGAACCTGTTTCATATTATTCTTAAAGTTAATGTATCAGATTGTAAACAATCTATTTGTAACACACACTAATCAAAATAAAACAATCGTGGAGTAGTTCATAAAACTATATCACACTAATAGGGATGAAGTGGAGATTACTGGTAGGGGGGGGGGTTAAGAAAGTCTAACTTCAAGCATTTTGAATAGTATTTTTAAAGGAAGTTTTAGCAGTTTTTTTTAATACATTTGATCAATGGATATAATAACTATCGGAATCATCTACAGTTTTCAATATTAAAAAGTGATTTGGGATGTTTACGGATAATTATACCAGATACCAACAAACCGTAGTAGGCTATATCGATTCATTTCATGCGAAGGGAAACAACTCAGCTAATTTTTTAGACAAAGCCAACATAACCTGGTTACATCCCCTTATGGAATTGACAGAAAATGGTGATCGGTGAGGAGAGTTTTTTCGTGTGTAAAAAAAAAACGGCAAGGCCTGTAAAATCGACTAAAAGCGTGGTTAGTTTAGGACTGATTTATTTAAGAAGTAGTTTCATTTATACCCCGTAGTCATTGATTTAGGTAAAAGGCTTAGTTCCTGGCCTTAGTCCTACAGCACTGATATAGGTAGCATAGCACTGATGGGATCTCTGTATTCTATATGCCGGTTCTTCCTAAAACAGGTACTTTAAAGGTAGGTCATTGAGGGCCACCCCATTATTGCCAAATGAATAATTTTTAATATCTATAACTAATCTTAGAGAGATGAAAATTTGCAGTGAAAAAATCCTTGCTTGCTGAAAAATGGACATAACCCCAACCAGTGTCTATAATGTATGCAAAGCTAAATGTTAGTTCCTGCTTTTCTAATGGATCCAAAGCACATCCAAAACGTATAATCACAGTACAGGTTCCAAGCAAGTAATGTGTTAAAACAGTGGAGGTATTAGCCAAGATACTTCACATTTTACTTACAAAAGCATCAGTAAATTATTTTTAAAATAGATATTCATCTAAGTAAAAAAGACTGATCAAAGTACCAGTTCACTTGTATTTATTTTTTAATTTTGTATCCAAAACGTCAAGAGCATTACTTAAAATGTTAAAATAAACAAGAGTAAATATTTACAGTTTGTGAGAAGCTTGAGCAGACAGAAATTAAAAACATGAAAAAAAAAACAACACATGGCATAAAGTTTTATTCATAAAACAATGTTAGTATACATCTCATAACAAAAATAACATCAACAAATTTCTCAACCTATCAGAGAGCATAAACTGATATCAAAAATTATTCTAGGGATGTTTTAACCCAAAGAGGTTTAGACCATTATGTTTGTTGTTAATGAAATAAATGTTATACTGAACCATACGTGTCAAAGTCCTAGAGGAAAAATAACACTTGGCCAAACAATCCATAGGGTGCGAAGTCTGCTAATATAAAAAAGATTGAGTACCCTTACTTATGATCTGTAACAGATCTGCATAAGCTTGAAATTTAATTGTATACCTTATGTATTCAAAATATAAAATTTTCAGAGTTTTTCAGAAATTGCACACAAATGGTGATCATAATGAAGTATTGCACAGTTTATCCAGGAGCGAGGAAGTAGTTATAATATACAAAACATGCATAATCAATGATAATCACAGATTATGGAAAACATAAGTTTACCAAGTCTTAGTAGATTCATAAACACATTGGCTCCTAACCAGTTGATTTCTGATTCCCTTTTTAAAGTTAAATGCAGTAAAATATTTATGCCTTTATTTTGTAGCATAGGAGGAGGCATAAAGCATAAGTAATGGTTGTGCAAATGAATCAAAGGCACTTGTAATTAGAGGAAAATCTAGGTAGAAAACAGACTGAAAATTAAGTTCCTGCTAACAAGGTAACATGTTTCAACATTCAATTTTGGGAAAAAAAAATGAAATATAAAAAAAAACCTATTTTATAAGAGGGTTTAGCCAATCATTAAATTATAGTTCAATATATTTTTAATTATTGTGAATTAATACTTGGATCTGCAAATATAGCCACTGTTATGTTACATAGCTTTTTACTTTCTTTCCTAATAATAACATTAAATTAAAATCAGCAGTCCACAAATGTATATATTAAACATCTAAAAATATTGCTTTTAAGTCAATGCAACTAATCCATTAACACATTTTTTATTAAAAGTTGTGCAGGGAGTGGAGGGGAGAAAGATGGAGTAGCAATATTAACAAATACTGACTATTGTACCTGTAGTAAATTCTAATTTAACGAGTTTCTATTAACTGTAATGTGATACAAGTTAACTTCATTTGTTTCCCATGCTTCTGACATAAGATGCACATTAATTGGATTTCACTTTAACTTTAAATATCCTAGTTTAATCCATCTATTGGTCAGAACACCAACTTACTGTTTGTTCAGGATATTAAGAACCACAACTAAGAAGTTCAGTAAAAACTGCTAGTGATTACAATGAAGTATTACAACTACCAAGTTGATACAGAATTAATACTGCCAACATTTTACTGGATTGCTAAGCTATTAAAACTTTTCTTTCATATCGTACGCTTCAACATTTCTTTATGTATTTGTTGAGCAAGTGCATCAACAAAAGCTTCAGGAAGGTCAAACTTTTCACCTATTACTTTGGCAACCTCTTCTGGTATATCAGTCTGAAAGAATAAAGTAATTTTAATCTTAAGTCATTGCCCAATTATTTTTATGTTTTCATATTTATATATCTTGTACAAGTAACTACAAAACTGATTTATTTATAGTTTTAGATATTAGGATACAATAGAGCACTTACTTTAGCAACATGAATTGGGAAGACTTCGCCATCTTTGTGCTCATATTCAAGTATGTATAAATGCTTTAATTCTGGAGATAATAAAATAAGACTACATTAATCATATACACATTTACAACATTTCCATATTACAATGTGATCCTATGCTCCACTATTTAAGTTTAAAACATATAAGTTAATCAGTTTTAATATGTTCTTTTCAAAAGATTATATAGATTTTCAAAAATGTATTTTTTAAATTAAATAACACCCTAATAACTTTTTTTAAGAAAATGGGTTTCAAAACAGAAACAACCATTTGATACTCAGAAGGGTTAAAGCAAATAACCATGCCCAACCACAACAAAGTTATCAACCTGACACTAACCCTAACCAGTCCTGTCTTTTCTGTCTCTGACCCTAAGGAATTACTGCAATACTAGATCATTACTGCAGCACATAATCTTCCCTAATGTTTACAATACACTAGGGTTCAAGGTGTGCAGCATTAGTCTACCCTAATAATTCAGCTGGGATACATTACTCAGAAATGTGTCTCAATATTTTCTCTAAACTTGCCTGAGCAAATATAAAACAACATAAAATGTAGAGATATTTGACAATTTTTATTTACTGGGTACAGAAGGGTGTAGTGTGGTAGGGGGCAATACTATATATAATTGCCTTTTATTTCATATTCCTTTTAGAAGTTCTCCTTTTCAAATTTCTGCATGTGAAAATAGAAGAGAATAAGAGCAGTCTTTATATCACTACAATATCTGGCATTATAATGGCTTAAGTAAAAAATACAAGTTGTTATACTTGAATGGTACATTTTACTAAGTTGATTAATCATTGCACACTATTTTGACCAATTTTTAACCCCTTTTTCTATAATCAAGTGTCATTAACTCAGTTCCCAGCCTCCTTCCCCCAACTGATAAATATTTCAAATATTAACCAGCTGTTAACCCATTATTAATCTCATTACACAGCTCTATTAGTAAACTATTAGCAGTCAGACCTATGTTTGTATGAATAAATCTTGATAAATATTTTACTCATTTGTTTTTATTTTATAGGGACCTAGTAAAGAGATTTAGCTGTTTGTTTTAAACTTGAGAACATTTTTGCCATTAATCAAAATTTAAAGCCAAATTATTTTTAACAAATGTTATGAATCACACATTTCTTGTCCCACTACAAGAGTGGTTTTGATATGTAAACATGTAAATGATATATAACAATAATTTAATAAAGAGTAGGGGTGGATCAAAGTGTTATGTGCATTACAGTAAACATCATGGCTTTGACCTCACAATTTGGTCATTACCCACACCAGAAAACTAGCATTTTAGGCCTAGTATACTGCCCTGTGACACATATTTCCCAATATGTAGTTTTATATCATGGTTACCTTTCTTAGATCTTTGTGGGGGTATATAGGTCTGTATTTCTGGTTTCTTCTGTTTAGATGTATGACTGTGAGGCTTCATGTGAAATTTTCCGTGTTGCTGTTTGGCTTTTACTTCTTTGTCATAATTATCCCTATAAAATAAAAACAAATGAGTAAAATATTTATCAAGATTTATGCATACAAAACATAGGTCTGACTGCTAATAGATAATTGGACCTGTTAATTAATATTAATTAGGCCTAAGGTCTAGATTTATAATATTAATAATTAAAAGGCCTAATAGTCCAGTCCAATTAAAAAAAATACCAAATTTGAAATTACACACAAATAGAGTCTAGATTAATCTAGATCTAGTCTGTTAAAGTTTAAATAAACAGGTAAAAATTACATTTTACTTTTTAGAGTGAGATTAGCCTTGTTGTCATTCATTAGTTAGGCCCTACAACTAATACTAATATAAAAGTAATAAAAGTTTTAGGAGTTAGTTAGTCTTCTTAGTCTCAGGGGTCGGTCCATAAATGACGTCACATTCGTAGGGGGGGGGGGAGGTCGTAATTTTGTGACGTTGTGTGATGAGGGGGAGTTCAGATGGTGTGATGTCACACTTTTGCAATATAAAAAAGCAATGTGGAAAACGAATTTTAGAGTTATTTCACGTTTTAGAAAACTGTTTTAATAAATTGTAATAGGAATTGATTAAAATACTCTATTTTGACAGAGTTCAGACAATATTTTGGAAAAATATCGATGTTTAAAATAAAAACGTGTTAAAAAAATTCAACTGCAATTTTGAGGGGGGGGGGGGGTGTAGGCTGACTTGTGACATCATTTTAGGGGGGGGGGGAGTCTGGCTTTTTGTGACGATGTGTGATGGAGGGGAGGTAAAAATGGTCAAAAAAGCATGACGTCATTTAATTTATGGATGACCCGTTATAGGCTTATAGTCTAGTGAATTATAGTCTGTCTCAGTCAACTCTCAGTCTGTCCACTCAGTCTCACCACTGTCTAGGTCAGGACACAGGGGTAATCTATCGTTTTGGGTACGTAAAATCGCCCGCGACTTGTAATGTGAAAACCAGGTGACTCCTTAAATTTTAATAATCATATAACATTTTGAGGAGGATTTATGTTTTTTAAAATACAAAAATGTTTCCTTGTTTCATTTATGTACCTGTTTTTAAACAATTGAATTATAACTTTTCCGTAATAAATGAAGACTAGCGATGTTTCCAACAGATGCAACAATGCTCATTTACTATAGCAGCCATCTTGTTTAAGTTTTATTTTTATAAGCTTTTAGCGGGAGATTCAGGGGGAAGCCACTCTATTTTACAAATGGCTGCTGTTTATTAGTTTATATAGCAAATCTTGCTCTCAGACACTGCTGTTTAAAGTTAATTTCTGGCCTATATTGATATATTTAGCCATTGATTTAGGTTTATTATTCATTTATCTATAATATTTGACACAAACATATGACAATATACTTCTATTAAAGCCTTGAAAATGAGGTAACGTTTTCGTACATTAATAGCCGCGGGCGATTTTACGTACCCAAAACGATAGATTACCGACACAGGTGATTTTAGTTAGGCTTTTAAATTTTAAAATAAAAAGAAATTAAGAGAAAAATGATAAATCATATTTCTAGAATCCACATATTTAGTATTATTTAGGCCGAATGATTTATTTTAATATTAAAGTATTATTAAAGTGCTTCCCATCAATAACTCATACAGAACTCTGTCGAACCTGTCGATTTGATTGCGAATCACTGATTTAATAAAACCATGAGCCATATCAATTCTTTGTTTAGGTTGTTGTTCTTGCATATTCATAAGTCTATAATTGTTTCGAAAAGCTAAATATAAATAGATTCATATAAATATTACTTAATGATATTATGTTTTTTATCAAGTAATTTAATAAATATAGATCTACTTTTATTTTCGAAATACAACCTATCCCTAGAATTTTTTTCCAAATTAAAACAAATTTCGTTTCGCGATAGTATTTTTATTAGAATTTTAAAAACATATGCCACGATTGCCAATTTGGATTTTTTAAAAAATGGTAAGCCTACCCAAGCTGCAGTTACGTTTACGCAATAAATGAAAATGCAAATCAGTTGTGTAAAGAATTTATTTCAGGCATCTCTTTGATCGATATAGAAACATTTTACAATGCATAGAAAATATATGCTTTAGCCAGTATCCAATACCCCCTTCCTAGGAAATTTAAGTCCACCCTCCCCAACGTTTCAAATGCCCCCCCCCCCCCCCACCCGAGGAAAAAATGTATGAAAGAAACACTGGATGCATCACAAATGCATCACAAGGGCGCGGGGTAGTGTTGAAGTTGAGAGAAGCGCAACTTTTAATAAGTATCAATAACTAGTCGCGTAATTTCTTAATAACATTGACTAACATTGACTGGCGAAATTGTACATTAGACGTTAATACAAGTGTTTTTTTCTAAGTAGTGAACGGTGAAAATCCTTCCGATTTACAAAATGCGCCCCCGCCCCCTCATTTTGTGGAGGAAAAGTAATGTTTTAAATCACACTCAAGAATCACAATTTCAACTCGTGTCATGAGTATATTTTGTCTAGAAACAGAAACATTTTTAAAAATGTTTATTGTTCAACGCATCATTTGTCTTACTTTCCCACGATTTTACCCCGCTACTTACTGATTATTAAATATTAATATTAGGCCTAATTGATATAATTAATTAAGCTTTTGCTGCTTTTTCTCTACTACTTTTTTTTGGAGGGGGGGGGGGGGAATCTTATCTTTTAAATTTCTTTTACGGTTTTGTTTGATTGTATTTGGTATTTAGTAGATACTCCAAGTGGCCATTATTATTGTATTTGGAATCGGAAGGTAATGACAAAATAAAATATTAAAATAAGGCATTAGGTAGGCTTACTAAGTAATAGGAAATCTAAATCTAGTATTACTAAATAAATACTGTATTAAATCAGATCTTGAATTTTAATTTGATGTGTAAATTACCCCCAGATTCTAGATCTAGATTCTAGATCTAGATTCTAGATCTCTAAATTTTATTAAATTAATATTTTTACTAAATAAATTAAAAACAACTGTCAACTGTAGACTAGAATGGGTAAAACTCCATTTCAGCGTATTTTATTCTCCGTTGCTTGTTTACCTCCAGTTGAGCGTATTTTATTATAACAACCGAAACACACCAAAACATTAGGAAAACACGATTTATTTTTTGTATTGTATTTTTGTTTTAGAAAATGAATAAAAATGAATATTAAAAAAAAACACGACTTGTTTATTTGTATTGTATTTTAAAAAAAAGGCATTTGTCTCATGGTGAAACTGATACACTGTTAATCATTCTGTTTTATATTTTTGTATTTATGCAATAAATGTACAAACTCTGTGTTTTTTAATTTGACAGTTTTGCTAAAACTGAAAATTTTTTTTTACTATAGAGTTGTATGTTATTTAAATTCATAGTAAATCTACCATCCTTCCCTTTTTTGTATGAGTAAATTTCTGACTTAAAAAAAAAAATTGATGTGGGGTCGTCCAAAATGACGTCACACTCGTAAGGGAGAGGGGGGTCAGCAATTTTGTGACGATGTGTGATGAGGGGGAGGGGGGTGGGGTTTCAGATGGTGTGACGTCCCTTTTTTGCATTATAAAAAAGCAATGTTAGAAAAACAAGTTTTAGCCGTTATTTCGCGTTTTAGAAAACGGTTTTAATAAATTGTAATATGAATTGATCAAAATACTCTATGTTGACAGAGTTCTGACAAGATTTTGGAAAAAATTATCGATGTTTTAAGAAAAATTCAACAGAAATTTTGAGGAGGGGGGGGGGGTTGTAGGCTGAGGTGTGACGTCATTTTAGGGGGGGGGGTTCTGACTTTTTGTGACGACGTGTAACGGAGGGGAGGGGGGAGGTAAAAATTGTAAAAAAGCGTGTCGTCACAAAAAGCAAGACCCCCCCCCCCAAAATGACGTAGCACCATCTGAACCCCCCCCCCCCCCTTCATCACACACCGTCGCAAAATTACCCCCCCCTCCCCCTACGAGTGTGACGTCATTTATGGACGACCTCTAACATTATTTTTTTTAAAATGACAACGTGAGTTGTCACACTTTCTCTAACACTCCAAGCCATCCCTCACCAAATTCCACCCCCCCCCCCCCCTCGGCCCACTTTCGACAGCATCATTGTGCCTTTTAATACTTTTATTCAGTTTAGGGGTCATCCATAAATGACGTCACGCTTTTTTGGACGATTTTTACCCCCCCCCCTCCCCCTCATCACACATCGTCACAAAATTACGGACCCCCCCCCCTCCCCCCTACGAGTGTGACGTCATTTATGGATGACCCCTTAGTTGAAATTGGAACACTTAATTGTACAAAGTGTGCATCTCTATTTTTGTAACCAACAAACAAAGCACTTCAGTCAGTCTCTTTGTTGTTTTTTATTCATTTGTTAAAACAAAAATACAATACAAATAAATAAGTCGTGTTTTTTAAACATTCATTTTATTCATTTGTGAAAACAGAAATACAATACAAAAAATAAATCGTGTTTTCCTAATGTTTTGGTGTGTTTCGGTTGTTATAATAAAATACGCTCAACTGGAGGTAAACAAGCAACGGAGAATAAAATACGCTGAAATGGAGTTTTACCCTAGAATGGACCATTTAATGGTAAATATACAAAAACTCCATTGTTTAGGAGTTAAGCGTATTTCGTATTTTATTCCCCGCTTCACGTTCACCTCCTCCAGTTGAGCGTATTTTATTATAAACTAATATAAACCGAAACACACAAAAACGTTAGGAAATCACTCTGCCTATTTCTTCATCATGAATCTTTGGGTTAGTTTTTTAAATTAATTTTGTTAAAACTTGAGAAAAATCCTAAATTCGGAATATTGAATGTTTAGCCTACTAAAAGTACTAGGCTTAGGGCTTAACTTAATGACATGTTACACTAATGTACTATTTATTTAGATCTAGAATCTAGAGATTTAACTTTTCTTTTTCTTTAAAAATTTGTTCCTGTCAGTTACGTGATTTTCATGCAAAGGGTAAAGTAGACACGCATAATTGCAAGGCATCAGGCATGATACTCGAGATCTATAAATTAACTTACATGAAGTTGACATGAACTCACAATGACCCTATGACGCATGCTGATAATTAAAGTCAAAGTGAACTCACGGTGAACCCTTGACCATGTAGGGATTTTTCTCATGCCGACAATCACATGCTATTTCATTGTAACTGTAATGCTTAGGCCTATTTATAATGTTTTTTACCTTTTCTAATTAAAACACATTCATTGAAAAAAATAAGTAGATCTGTAATATCTAGGCCTATCATCTAATGATTCTAATCCTAGTGTTTTCCTAACATTTTTGTGTGTTTCGGTTGTGTTTATAATAAAATACGCTCAACCGGAGGTGAACGTGAAGCGGGGAATAAAATACGCTAAAATGGAGTTTTACCGACTAGAATGTCATCAATCTGCCACTCTCACTAATTGACTAGATTCTAGATCTAGAATCTAGAATCATCATATAGTTCATCCCATTTTATTTATAATATTGAAATATTGTTGACTGTTGACATGGATTGTTGAAATTCGATTAAAAAAAAATACTTTGACTTCATAGCGTCCTTAAAAATAATAGCCTAATAAAGGTAATATTTAATATAGGCCTAATATAATTGTTTTAGGTATGAAAATCGGAAGAGGCTGGTAATGTGAAAAAAGGTAACTTATCAAATGTTTGTAATTATTTCACATTTTTAGAAGGATTTACCTATGTTTTGAAAGTTACAAAAATGTTTCAAACTTTCATTTGTGTAGGCCTCCCTGTTTTTAAACAATTGTATTAAAACTTTTCAGTTATAAATAAAGATTAGCGATGTTTTCATCAGATGCAACCAAGTTCATTTACTTTAGCAGCCATTTTGTTTTAAGTTTTTTGGTAAAATTTTAGCTAGAGATTCAGGGGAAACCACTCTAATTTACAGCTGGCCCTGTTTATATAGCAAATCTTGCTCACAAATAAGGCTGTTTAAGGTCAATTTCTAGCCTTTATTGATATATTTAGACATTGCTTTTGGTTTATTATTCAATTATCTATTATATTTGACACAAAAATATCACAATACACTTGTATTGAAATTAAAGCCATATTAATGAGTCACCTTTCGCACACAATACTAGCTTCATCCAATTTCCATATAGAAACATGTTTAGTTTTACTTAAATAATCATCACTACAAGTAGACAGAAATGTATAATAAAATCAAATGTTTTTTAACTCTTTCTTATGAAGGATGGTAACAGATAGTTTCAAAAAGATCTAAGTTAATTGTTGTGACTGGAAATGAATGCAGAAACTGAACTTGAAAACTCAGTAAAGAGCTCACAAGACAAAATGGAATCTGATATTATCCAGGGATTTATTATTGAACCACAAGCGCAAGTATCATCAGAAGAAGCTACAATACAGGGATCTTCTTGTTCAAGCACTAGTGATAAAAATTACCTGAAGCATTGGGATATAAAACACCACCCAGTTGTCCTTCTGACTAAATTAGATCCTGGAATAACTACACTGACAGTTAAACCTGGGTGGAATTCTTTCACAAAATTAAATAAGTCGAGTGATGAGGTAGCAAGCTGTTCAAATAGTAAAAATAGAGATGAGAAAAATTGGTATGACATGGAGGAATCACTCTCTGATATCTCTGTCTCAGATATTGATATTTCTGACAGTGAAGATTTAACAAAAGGCACGTCAAGCAAAAAAGTAGAAAGAGAAAGGAGCAGGACTAGAGCATCAAAAGAAACTCATTCTGATGTGAGGAAAAGGGAGAAAATTGAGAAGAAAAATGATGTACCAGCTA